CCTGCTCCCTCTCCTTACACTGAGCAGACAGGTAGTCCTGCCGAGCGTCGTGAGCCTGCGTCGCGTCCTGTCTCGCCTGTTCGTCCTGGTCATACCGGTCGTCGTGTTCCTCGTTCGCGTCAGCCGGCTGTCCCCAGCGCACACCTCGTAGTCCGTCGTCCTTCCTCTGCTCCGCAGCCTGTTCCTCTGCCGTCTCCTCCTGCGTCCTCTTTGCCTGACGTTCCGAACCCTGAGTCTGACCGGTTTCGTGCTGAGCACCCTACTGTCACGCGTCTGCTAGCCACTGTTGTCACTGACCTGTCGTTTGAGTCTACTGCTGCGTCTGCTCTTGTCGCTGAGCTTGTTGACTTTGCTGCTGCCTGTCGTCTAGACTTTGCTGCCGGTCTTGTTGCTGAGTCTGAGTCTGTCTGTCCTCCGTCCGTCGGGGGTGAGTGTGCTCTTGGCACGGACGTCCTTGAGGACAGACAGGAGGAGTTCCAGTGCTTTGCTGCTGCTTTGCCCCATCTCGTGTCCATGCTAGTTGCCCGTGAGGGAGACCCGGATGCACCAGACATCCCGACTCCGCGCTCTTACGCAGAGGCGATGGAGGGTCCCTACTCCTCTCAGTGGCAGACAGCCATGGACGCAGAGATGGCTTCCTGGAAGTCCACAGGCACCTACGTCGACGAGGTTCCCCCACCTGGGGCGAACATCGTCAGTGGTATGTGGATTTTCAGGGTGAAGCGGCCGCCGGGTTCTCCGCCTGTCTTCAAGGCGCGCTACGTTGCTCGAGGCTTCAGTCAGCGAGAGGGAGTAGACTTCTTCCAGACCTTCTCCCCCACCCCGAAGATGACCACTCTTCGGGTGCTGCTGCACATAACCGCTCAGCGTGACTACGAGCTTCACTCTCTTGACTTTAGCACAGCCTTCTTACAGGGCAGCTTGCACGAGGAGATCTGGCTGCGCCGCCCACCTGGCTTCACTGGGTCGTTCCCTCCTGGTACCCAGTGGAGCCTCCGGCGGCCAGTCTACGGTCTCCGCCAGGCGCCACGTGAGTGGCACGACACACTGAGGACTACACTTGCGGCTCTTGGGTTCGCTCCTTCGACTGCTGACCCGTCGCTGTTCTTGCGCACCGACACTTCGCTGCCGCCGTTCTACATCCTCGTGTACGTCGACGACTTGGTCTTTGCCACTGCTGACACTGAGGCTCTCGCCCACGTGAAGTCGGAGCTGCAGAAGAGACACACGTGCACAGACCTGGGTGAGCTGCGCAGTTACCTTGGCTTGCAGATCACCCGGGATAGAGCACGCCGCACCATCACACTGACTCAGTCACACATGGTGCAGCAGGTCCTTCTGCGCTTCGGCTTCACCTGGTCCTCGCCACAGCACACTCCTCTGGCTACAGGTCACTCGCTCTCAGCTCCACCTTCGGACGAGTCCGTAGAGCCGAGTGGTCCTTACCCAGAGCTAATGGGCTGCCTCATGTACCTGATGACCTGCACTCGTCCTGACCTTGCATACCCTCTTGGCCTTCTCGCTCGCTATGTGGCTCCTGGTAGGCACCGACCAGAGCACATGGATGCTGCTAAGAGGGTACTGCGCTACTTGTGCAGTACATCGGGCATGGAGCTCGTGCTTGGAGGACGGAGTGAGGTGATCCTAACTGGGCACTCAGACGCGTCTTGGGTTGACGACCAGGCTACACAGCGGTCGTCACAGGGTTACACCTTCAGCCTTGGCTCTGGTTCTGTTTCTTGGCGGTCTACACGCTCGTCTTCTGTTCTCAGCTCCAGTTGTGAGGCTGAGATCTACGCCACCGCCATGGCTGCACAGGAGCTACGCTGGCTCACTTACCTGCTGACTGACTTGGGTGAGCGGCCTCGTTCTCCTCCAGTTCTGTACGTTGACAACAAGGCAGCCATTGCCTTGTGTGAGGAGCACAGACTGGAGCACAGAACGAAGCACATCGCTCTGCGTTACTTCCTGGCTCGAGAGTTGCAGCAGCGAGGCCAGCTTCGTCTTCGTCACGTGGCCACTCGGGCCAACACTGCTGATATATTCACCAAGGCACTTCCGTCTGGTGATCATCAGCGCTTCTGTACCCTGTTAGGCCTTGTGCCTACGTTTCCACACTTGCTGTAGTTCTTGCTTGTACTGTGATATATACCTGCTTGTTGGTTCTTGCTAGATAGTCATCATTGTACTGTTATTGCTGCATATATATCTCTGCATGTGAACTGGCCTTGTGGCCTTTTGCTTGTGCTCAGAGTATGTGGTGACGTTGTGATCCACCCTGAGCTTGCTTTGCCTTTCTTGACTGGTCTTGTGACCTCTTGCTCTCCCCCACTTTGCCTATGGGGGTGTGTCAAACATATTTATATGGGTTATATTACTGGTAGGCTGTAGTGGGGTAGATTCTGTGGGGTATAACCCCTTAGGGTTTTCCTACTTGTAAAATTTCTCTCGATAGTGAACCTCACCTTGCCTAGCTATCTCAACAGTAATATTACAGTTTGACAGTACCTTTTTACATGTTTTGAAGACTATGGCCCCCCCCTTTCATTGACTGCCCACACTGCCTTTATATAGGGTTCGTTTTCACCACATTTCTATGATAATGGATAAATTATGTGATGGCATTTGTAGTGAATTCAACATTTCAGTGGCTGGGTGTACCGTTTTGTGCTCATAGACCTTGTGGGGTGCTGAGTTTCGAGTGTTTCTTCTGACACATCGGGCCAGAATTTTCGACCACCACGTGCCACATTCGAGTCGTACAAGGTGGAGTCATGCAGAGAACGCTTATAAATTGGATCGCGAGCTGCATGGCGTCCAATCGAGGTGCATCACATGAAGAAATGCAGGCGGCCATTCAGAGATACATGCGTGCGAAAATTGGGACGGTCGGCGGTGACTTGGCGAAAATGCGCCTCGTCCAGATTGCACCGTATTGCACAAACATTCACTTAAAAGGTGTACCGACTGACCGAGTACGACCTCCAGGTAGGTGCGCCCTCTTGAAAGATGGATTAGATTTCGTAACGACCCCGCAACCATGGCGACACATTCTTTAAGTTATGTCGGGGGAAATACTCCCTTCGAATCAGGCCGTTAGGCTCAAACTCAGAGGTATAAAAGTCAGAGAGTGGTACGTTTTTCATTTTGCAGATTCTCCTTCTCTTTTGTTCATTTTCTTCCCACTCCAACTACTCTGCACCCCACTTTCCTTAGTCGATGGAGCCCTCTATTGAACTCGAGGGGGCTGGTCTGCGTGTGCGGTTGTCGCGTTTAGAGTTCGAAAACTTGCGGGACCAGGAAGCGGAATGGTCCGAGAACATTCTCAACTTTGTGCTGCTGTAAGTCGCACTCGAATTGAGTGGTACTTTTTCGAGTTTACCTACCATCTAAACGACGTCCCCCATTTAGCTGTAAAATTTGTGAGCTTGTTTGGTACTCTGAGCTGTGACGTGTTTCGTGAACATCCACTTTCGTCCACCACCGATTGCTTCTAGCGGTAGGCTGTTCGAGGATTATTTCAGCTCTACGTCACTCATAAACTTTCGAGATTTTGGTATGCTACCTGGAATGTGAGCTGTAGCGATCGCCTCTTGAAACCATTTTTCGAGCGTGTTGTCTCGTAATCTTTCGCAGGATGCTTGCCAAAAATAGGCTGACCGCGGAGCAGCTTTCGAAGGTCGAAATCGTCCCCATGAGTCGGGTCAACGTCGCCAAGGCGAAAGTCCCACTCGAACCTATGGGTCCAGGCAGACTCACAGGTCTCCTTGGCAAGAAACTCTGCGTCTTCTCGTTATGGTCCAGGTGGCTCGAATATACGAAGTTGATTTCGAAATTATTTGTACGGCTTTGTTTCTTCCCTTGAGATTTTTCTAAAGGTGTCTATTATTTCGCCACACCACCCCTTGCGGTATCACTGCGGAACCGAAGGCGCGTTGTAGCCTCTTTGTTCTCGTACGCCCCGACAGTCTGGTGGCCCACCCGAAGTTACCGGTTCAGACGCGTCTTTTGCATTTCGACCCCAAAGCCACTTCTCCGACTCATAAGCACGCAGACCTCGCCCAAAATATTGTGCCGTGAGTATCCGCCGTTTAAGCGGCATTCGTGCGTGTTGCAATGTGAACGACGCTCAGTGAAGTCGGACCTCTTATGTTGAGCAGGTGGCTTGAGCAGCAGCTCTTGATGGAATATTCAAGAGGGGAAGCGAACTTGGGGGAAGCGACCTTGGTCGGAGAGACCCAGGAAGTATTTCGCGACATTCGTAAGCGCATCACAGGCGGCTGGAAGCTCGACAAAACTGGGGTTAGTTATCGAATACAGTGCTACGTGCTACATTATTATTTAAAACATGGCCGTGCTAACGCTTTTCCGCATCCGTGTTGTTGCAGAAGCTAACTCAGTCACTCGGCCAAAGGGAGGTTGGTTCGGGACTTCACGTGGCCTACCAGTGGTGCAAGATGCTCGATCATTTCGACGTCATTCTGGAGCAACAGACGAGGGACGAAAAATTCCTCTCTTTGGGTACCCCACAATACCGTCGAGAGAATATTCTGGATGACATACTCACCGACTGTGGGAAGTATTTTGACAAGGTTGCACGTGGTGAAACTACGGGTGAGGGGGAAGAGGACAACTTGGTCCATCATGGGCCTGTCGCAGAGGACACAGAGCCCCCGCCAGAAATTGATGCGGAAATAGTCGCGGTAGGGGCGCTGGTTTCTGACAGCGTTCGAATGGGTCTGGCCAACGAGCGTCAAAGCGTGACGGATGGGGAGCGTCGGCTGATAGATACAGACGACGCACACGGTCGGAGGGAGAGTGCGCGCGAGGTATTGCGAGGAATGAGGGAGACGCAGCAGAGGGCAGCAGTGGCCAAAATTCAGCGTTGCGGATAGGAGGCCGTACAGCAGAAGGGGGAGGGGGAGAGCATGGAGGAGCTACCAATGGCTTTACAGGCAGTGCAACTCCCCGTCGAGGATGAACAGGATCAGGGGCAGAGGATGGAACGCGAAACAAGGATGGTGTATCAGAGGCGTGAGGCACGAACAAAGAAGAGGTGTGATCAGGGGCGGGAAGAAGGCGATGCGGTGGACGCGAATGAGAGGGTGGAACAGGAGCGTATCATGTTCGATGACGAGGGTCGAGAGTTTCGCGCGACGGAGGGGGATAGGGAGGGAGATGAACGAGAGCAGGAGAGGGTCGAGAACGAGAGGCGTCTTAAGCGCGAAAATCAGGTTGCGCTGCAGAGAGAGGTCGGGACTGAGGGACTCAAGGAGAAAAGGTCGATGGAGCGCGAAAGAGAGGAGGCACGACAGAGGGTGGAAAAGGAGGGGCTCGAGGCACAAAGGCGGGTGGAGCGCGAGAAGGAGGAGAATAGGCAGAGGGAGGAGGAAGAGCGGAAGAGGGAGGAGGCGAGGAAGGTGGAGCGCGAAAGGGAGGAGAATCGGCAGAGACAGGCGGAAGAGCGGATAAGGGAGGAGGCGAGGAAGGTGGAACGCGAAAAACAGGAGGCGCGGCAGCGGGTGGAGGAAGAGCGCAAGAGGGAGGAGGCGAGAAAGATGGAGCGCGAAAAGGAGGAGACCAGGCAGAGGGAGGAGGAAGAGCGGAAGAGGGAGGAGGCGAGGAAGGTGGAGCGCGAGAAAGAGGAGGCGCGGCAGAGGGAGGAGGAAGAGCGGAAGAGGGAGGAGGCGAGAAAGATGGAGCGCGAAAAGGAGGAGACTCGGCAGAGGGAGGAGGAAGAGCGGAGGAGGGAGGAGGCGAGGAAGGTGGAGCACGAAAAAGTGGAGCGGCAGAGGGAGGATGAAGAGCGGAAGAGTGAGGATGCGAAGAATGTGGAGCGCGAAAAGGAGAAACTGCAGAGGGAGGAAGAAAATCGGAAGAGGGAGGAGGCAAGGAGGGTGGAGCGCGAAAAACAGGAGGCGCGGCATCGGGTGGAGGAAGAGCGGAGGAGGGAGGAGGCAAGAAAGATGGAGCGCGAAAAAGAGGAGGCACGTCAGCGGGAGGAGGAAGAGCGGAGGAGGGAGGAGGCGAGAAAGATGGAGCGCGAAAAGGAGGAGACCAGACAGAGGGAGGAGGAAGAGCGGAAGAGGGAGGAGGCGAGGAAGGTGGAGCGCGAGAAAGAGGAGGCGCGGCAGAGGGAGGAGGAAGAGCGGAAGAGGGAGGAGGCGAGAAAGATGGAGCGCGAAAAGGAGGAGACTCGGCAGAGGGAGGAGGAAGAGCGGAGGAGGGAGGAGGCGAGGAAGGTGGAGCACGAAAAAGAGGAGCGGCAGAGGGAGTATGAAGAGCGGAAGAGTGAGGATGCGAAGAATGTGGAGCGCGAAAAGGAGAATCTGCAAATGGAGGAAGAAAATCGGAAGAGGGAGGAGGCAAGGAGGGTGGAGCGCGAAAAACAGGAGGCGCGGCATCGGGTGGAGGAAGAGCGGAGGAGGGAGGAGGCGAGAAAGATGGAGCGCGAAAAAGAGGAGGCGCGTCAGCGGGAGGAGGAAGAGCGGAGGAGGGAGGAGGCGAGAAAGATGGAGCGCAAAAAGGAGACCAGACAGAGGGAGGAGGAAGAGCGGAAGAGGGAGGAGGCGAGGAAGGTGGAGCGCGAGAAAGAGGAGGCGCGGCAGAGGGAGGAGGAAGAGCGGAAGAGGGAGGAGGCGAGAAAGATGGAGCGCGAAAAGGAGGAGACTCGGCAGAGGGAGGAGGAAGAGCGGAGGAGGGAGGAGGCGAGGAAGGTGGAGCACGAAAAAGAGGAGCAGCAGAGGGAGGATGAAGAGCGGAAGAGTGAGGATGCGAAGAATGTGGAGCGCGAAAAGGAGAATCTGCAGAGGGAGGAGGAAAATCGGAAGAGGGAGGAGGCAAGGAGGGTGGAGCGCGAAAAACAGGAGGCGCGGCATCGGGTGGAGGAAGAGCGGAGGAGGGAGGAGGCGAGAAAGATGGAGCGCGAAAAAGAGGAGGCGCGTCAGCGGGAGGAGGAAGAGCGGAGGAGGGAGGAGGCGAGAAAGATGGAGCGCGAAAAAGAGGAGGCGCGGCAGAGGGAGGAGGAAGAGCGGAAGAGGGAGGAGGCGAGGAAGGTGGAGCGCGAAAAAGAGGAGGCGCGACAGCGGGAGGAGGAAGAGCGAATGAGGGAGGAGGCGAGGAAGGTGGAGCGCGAAAAGGAGGAGGCGCGGCAGCGGGCGGAGGAAGAGCGGAAGAGGGAGGAGGCGATAAATATGGAGCGCGAAAAGGAGGAGACTAGGCAGAGGGAGGAGGAAGAGCGGAAGAGGGAGGAGACGGAAAAGGTGGAGCGCGAAAAAGAGGAGGCGCGGCAGCGGGAGGAGGAAGAGCGCAAGAGGGAGGAGGCGAGGAAGGTGGAGCGCGAGAGGAAGGAGAATCGGCAGAGGCAGGCGGAAGAGCGGATGAGGGAGGAGGCGAGGAATGTGGAACGCAAAAAACAGGAGGCGCGGCAGCGGGAGGAGGAAGAGCGCAAGAGGGAGGAGGCGAGAAAGATGGAGCGCGAAAAGGAGGAGACTAGGCAGAGAGAGGAGGAAGAACGGAAGAGGGAAGAGTCGAGGAAGGTGGCGCGCGAAAAGGAGGAGAAGCGGCAGAGGGCGCTGGAAGAGCGGAATAGAGAGGAGGCGAGGAAGGTGGAGCGCGAAAAGGAGGAACGGGAGCGGAACAGGCTGGAGGCCAATGAGCGAGAAACGGGCGGAAAGCAAGCGAGGGAGAGGGACGAGCGTGATCGAAACAGGCTGGAGGCAGCGCCGCGAGACCCGCGCGAAAGGGAAGAGGCGCGGCAGAGGCAAGAACGGGAGCGTAAGAGAGACGAAAGCGAACGCCGAAGGCATGAGCTGAGAAGACTAGAGCGCGAAAGGCAAGTCGCTTAACATGGTGCCGGAGGGCAGCGGGGGTGCGATGGAACCCGTCACACAAACGAGGGCCAGAGGGGCGCGAGGGTCTGTCAAACCCAAGCGGGGCGGGGTGCAGGGGAAGGAGCACGAAAAGTGGTGGTTGGCGACCAGCCAACCGTGGGGCAGCAGGGGACGACGGTTCGTCGGGCAGCGGAGGCGGGTTTAGCGGGATTGGGAACTGGAGGTCCGAGACAGGTTATTCAGCGGGATGGTGGCCGGCGTGATGCGCAACCAGTTCAGAACAGGGTTGGCGAGGGAGACCGTAGGAGGCTCGAGCAGTCAAGGCCAGCCGGTCGGCGAGAGGGTGAAGCGCGGCGAACGCTACGGGGTGAGCGAGAGGCGGAGGAGCGTGTGTGGCGTGGGGTGGGATGGGCAGTGGAGGGAGGACGAGTGGAAGAGGAGCTGGAGAGTGCGACGAGTGCGCTCCCTATTCAGAGGCGCCGTGCGCGTGAGGCAGAGGGTCCTGCTGCGGTGCAGGCCGAGGGACTAGAGGAGGGTGAATGGGTGGCTGTGGAGAGGGTGCTGGAGGAACAGGAGAATGCCGGCCCCCAGGTTTTCGTGGAGACAGCGGGTGGATTTGAGGAGGCTGGCGACCGCATCGCAGCTAGCGGCAGGGTGCAAACCTCGTCAGAGTTAATGCGGCGTCTGACGTTGGTGGCGAGGTCCGTGGCCAGGATTTCGTCGGAGCATGGTGTCCGCTTCAGCGAATGCATGGCCGAGATCCGCCAGTTTGGTTCGCAGATGCAGGGATGGGACATGCGCTACTTGCAGGACTACGACGATCTCACGAACGAGTACCACGAGCTCAAAGATTCAGTGGTCCGGGAGCGCGCGGAGCTCGTCCAATTGCGTACTGCTCTGACGACGGCTGCCGCCGAGGCACGAGCGGCAGCAGCTGATGCAGGTCGAGCAGCTGCAGCAGCGGCTGTTGGAGCATTGCAGGAAAAGTTAGCTGGGTTTTTCGAAAGGTATGAGGAGAAGCTGAAGGGTGTGGTGGAGCAGGCAATAGAACGTGCGTCAAAAGGGGGGAAGCTGGAGGCCACGATCGCTCCCATCTCCATGCAACACGTGCAAAAAGCTTTTGACAAAAGCATCTACGATGCGTGGGAGGATCTCCGAACGGCAGACGACCAAAACCAGCTGACTTTCAAAGCGATTCAGAAGGCTGTGGCAGAATTGGGAGCAACGCTCAAAGGGCCGACTGGACCCATCAGGGTTGAAAATCCCGCCGCTGTCAGAGTTGAGGCCACACCAAACCCTGCGCGAACGCACACCGAAGCAGACTCTCCGGACATCCCTATTTCCGCGGCACAAAAAGTCATGGAAAGGTTTGCCGCGACATCGGAGGGCGTGGCGGCTGACGTGGGTGGGGCGGGTGGGGCAGGCGCCGGTGTGGCAGATGTGTGCTTGTCCCAGCCGGTGAGCAGAAACTGGAGAGAGTCTTTTCGGGCGAAAGAGTTGCTGAAAGAGAAGGACAAGGAAAGCGACAAGAGGAGGGCGACCGATGCGCGGAAACGGTCTGCAATTCAAACGGCGCAAGCGACGGCAGCACAGAAGAGACGGGCTGTGGTGGGGGTGGGGAATCCCAGAGGCGATGATGGGACTGGGACTGTTGTTAGCAGCGGGAGAGCGACGGAAAACCAAGAGGCAACAATAACCGCGGAACCAGGAACCTTGCGTGCAACCATGGCCGAGAGGAGGAAAGCGGAACAAGGGAAGAAGGCCGAGGAGGACCGCAAGCGTGCACAGGAGGAAAGGGCGCGGCAGGATAAGGTGGTGGCAGAGCGGGCCGACAGAGCGGCCGAGGAAAAACGCAAGGCGGATGAGGAGAGGAGGGTGCGGGAGGAGCAGGCGATGGAGGCAGCTCGGGTGGAAAGAGAGGCGGAGGAAAAACGCAAGGCGGATGAAGAGAAGAGGGTGCGGGAGGAGCAGGCGAAGGAGGCAGCTCGGGTTGAGAGAGAGGCGGAGGAAAAACGCAAGGCGGATGAAGAGAAGAGGATGCGGGAGGAGCAGGCGAAGGAGGCAGCTCGGGTTGAGAGGGAGGCGGAGGAAAAACGCAAGGCGGATGAAGAGAAGAGGGTGCGGGAGGAGCAGGCGAAGCAAGCAGCTCGGGTAGAGAGAGAGGCAGAGGACAAACGCAAGGCGGATGAAGAGAAGAGGGTGCGGGAGGAGCAGGCGAAGGCATTGAAGGTTGCGAAAGAGAAGCGGGCGGAGGCACTGAAGAAGAAAAAGGAACTCCAGGCAAAGCGTGAGAGGATGCAGGCACAACTGGACGAACTTGCAAAGTTGGAGGAGGATGCGAAGGAGGAAGAGGAGAGGCAACTGAAAGAGTTGGAGGCGCAGAAGGATATGATGGAAACAGAGAGGCAACAGAATGCGGCGGAGGATGCGGAGGAGGCAGCAGGGCAAGGGCAGCGCGAATACGCGATTCTTAGCGTTGCGCCCACGGCCGGGATTCTTCAGGTGGTTCCTCCAGACCACAGACAGCCAGTCGAAATTGTGGGTATGGCAGAGGATGTAGAGTCAATGGATCGGACAGGCCACACGGATTCAGAGTCCCAAACGGCTTCGAAGAAACCCCGCACCGATCAATCAGCCGCCAACTTCAATGCAGAAGCGGAGTCAGAGAATGCGGCAGCGTCGGATAACGAAGTTGGGGCAGGGCATGCGAATCTTGAGGCGGTGTTGGGAGAAGCGGTCGAAAATGTGGCAGAAAAGGATACGATACCCGACGCACTGGGCAAAACGTGGGGTGTTTCCAAGCACTTAAAAAAAGCGGGGCTTTTTGAACGCGAATATCAACGGAAGGATGGGACGAAGGAGGTGAGATTCTCTTCGGAGCAAACAGTTGGAGGGAAGAAGAGAAACATGGGGAGTTTCAAGGAGAAATGGCGCCGTGACTTTACCGTTGCCATCTGCTGGATGGTGTACTATCCAGAGACCGACATGCTTCATTACGGGATGGATCCCGTCGAAGTTGGGACATGGGATCCCTACCTCGAACTCGCACGCGAATTGCCGACAGGAGTGTGGAGCGTGCTCAACAAAATGGACATGGACAAGTACGAAGAGTGAGTATCCACGATTTACGAGTCCATCTTTCGACTTGTTTATGCCACTAATGTTCCAACTATCCCACTCCTGGCAGCTTCAAGAATGTCTTCGAGAAGATTCAGGCATGTGTGGAACGCGGCGAGCACTGGGAGATCGCGGTTTGCGTGGGGATAGGACAGGCCGTCGTCCTTGGTAGCACTGATGCGGAGTCTCCGGCCAGTGGTGTCAAGTCCGCAGTATATGCAGCAGGGGTGGCCGCATGTCTGTACACCTTGTGGGCTGCTTCGACAGGTATTCCGAGTTCTGACTGGGAAGACGGTGCCGCAGCGGCAGCCCGTGGGACACTCGCAGATCAAAGCCTTGCCAGTCGAGCAGCCTCAGTGTCTCGCTTCGGAATAGCGGCTCTGCGTCGAGTTAGGGACAGCGTGCATGCTCGGAGCGACTGGGAGTCGGTTCTTAGCGGAGTGATAGGATGCATCATAGATCCCGAACCCAAGGACGAGCTGGAGGTTGGTAGCTTGGCGAAAGTGGTTGCTCGGGTGTTGGTGTACTGGTGCGAGTGCAACCTGGCTGCCGCGGGAATCTACGCGTACCAAGGGGGTTTGCTCAACTTTGCCCAGGGGACGCGAGGGCAGAAGCGGAAGGCGACTGCTGGTGGCAAAGCGTGAAGCGAGTGCACAAGGGATGTCAGAAGCTTTGTAGTGCGTGACATGTATTGCTTTTCGAAACACCTCCGAGATTCTTTATTTGGTTGCACTAGCGTGGTTCACCTTGCTTGTTTTTCAAGAGATTTTGTAATCCTAAAACTAGCATACTCTGGATTTCGAATTCCCCTCTCAAGAATGAAGGGCTTGCTTGGTTCGAATTGAAAAGCTAAACTCCACATAGGCAGCGCGACTCTTGCTTTGTAGTCCGTTGCGTACTTTGTATTTCAAGACATTCGCGACCCGCCCGAATCCCTACACACTCGCAGATGGTACGGCCCTATAAACCCGTGGGGTTTCCAACCCAACCGCGAGAAGTCCAGGAAAACAACCCGCGGGATTTCCCTCCCACCCGAACGAAGTCGTGGTAACCTACCCCTGGAGGAGATCCCAACCATCAGCGAGACGCATAGGAAACCAACCCCCTGGAATTCCCACCCACCCGCGGGAAGTCGAGGGAAACAACCCGCGTGCATTCTGATGAACGTCAGCCATGAGAATTCATGTTCCAACCAGCGAGAATGTAGAGCCTCCCACCCGCGGGTGAACTGTGGAACCCACCCAATGTCCTTCCTCGGAACCCACTCGCGTGTGTTCCTTCCTCCCGTATATATTCGATGAATCCCGCCCGCGGACAGTTTTTGACACCCACCAGCCCTGGTTCCAGAACACCATCCCACGCGTGTTACAATGCAATAGTTCTTGATAACCATGAATAGCTCGACTATGAATGAGGCTGTTGGGATATTTGGACGCGCGTTCCAAGAACGTGTTTGTGCAAACCCATATCATCAAGTCGTACAACTATTAACTACCAGTGCTGCCACAGAAACCCTACACACGCGGAAACCCAATCCACAAATCCATCCGAACGACAAACACACACAAGCATAAGCAGCAAGAACCAACCACGAAAAAAAAAGGTTGCAGCACACAACCCTACAACCCATGCCAGATCCACGGAACTCTCAGGCCAACTCCTCGTTGCTCTCGGATCCGCCCAACATAATCGCCTCGTTTTCGTCGTCGTCCTCGTCATCGCGCTCTGCCTCCTCGCCCTTCTTCCCAACCTTCCCCGCGTCGCCTTTCTTGCCTTTCCCACGCGTCCCCCTCTTCTTCGCGGCCTGACGGGCTTTCTCGCAGTCCAGGTAAAGGCCCACGCCTTTTGAGGACGGACACGCAGATCCATCGTAGTTCCAATTGGCCACTACTTCGACCAGCAGGGGCACGCAAACGTGGACTGTCTTGTCCGTAGCCGCGTATCTACTCAGCACACTCTTCTCAACGGTAGCCGCGGACAACATCGGATTAGCAGGGCGTTTCCGGATTGTCGTGTACACGTCTGCCCAGCAAGCTTTCAAACAAAACAAATCGTCCGCGCTCGCGCCACACAGCGTTGCAGCGGCCAAGGCACTCTGGAGCGCAGCGGATCGATGCTCCGCGGTAACCCCCTCAAAGGTCGTTTGCGCACCACCCGTCGTGTTCTAGCGAGTGTATGCCGAGGTGAAGCTCCACATGGCTGCACAACCGAACGCCAACGCGCCCGCGTAAAGCGACTTCTGATCTTTCCCTTTCACCGCCGTTTCGTCATCCGCTGCTTCGAGGCCAATAGCAGCACAAATCGCGGACTCGACCGTAGGCTTCCCTTTCGAGTCCAAGAATCCGCGAGTTCTCTTGAAAATGTTCAACATCCTGCACGAAATGGTTCACAGACGTGTTACGTCTCGCGGTTGAACAGAAGTACGAATACAGCCGCGGGTCGGTTGCGTACCTCTTGTGATTCGCGGCCAGTTTCCGGATATAGATCACCGCGTAAAGCCCCGCAGTCATCTTTCGGGCGAGATCGAGATCGAGGCTCCATTCCACCTCCTCCGGTTCCGTGAGCACCAACTCAGACCTCTGCATGCGGTCGTGCCACACGGTCTGAGCCACCGCTGACAGATAGCGCGCGGGCCCAGCACGCGAAAACGTGCCGAGATAGAAGCGCTCGCCACCATGATGAAGCTCCACCGCGAAGGGGTTTTTCTGGCCTGGAAAAAAACGGACACCGACCATCGGCGTCTGCTTAATCTCGGCACTCTTAGAGCCCCCACCCTCATCCCCACGACCAGCACCTTTCGCCGCTGCCCGCGCCGCATGATATTTCCTCCGTGCCTCCCTCGCCTCCGCCTCCTCGTCGCCAACAGATTCTTCCGCGCCCTCAGTCGTGCCTTCCGCTGCGATCCCCGGCCTGCCAGAAGCAACAGCAGCCACTGCAGGCGCGGCATCTTTCGGGCCAGCAGGAGATAAACCAGCAGCACTCTTCGCTTTCTTCGCGCGGTTGGAAGCCTCGCCTTCGGCAACAGGCGGAACCGAGCGCTTGTCATGACGCACTGGCTCAACACCACCCACAAGCGTCAGCGGCAGACTCGCGTCACCCGCTACACCAGCTCCGAGTTTGGGATCCCGATCCGCGGAATGCACGGGGTCGCCCCACGATCCAGCGTTACCCCCGATGTTCGCCATCACTGCTCTCAGGATCATAGCCCCCGCGCCCGCACCACGCTCCGCCGCTCGCGCCACCGAGTCTTCGAGGCCGACAAGCTTGCGCCAAACCTCCGTGCGCGTCCGCTCAGCGATATCGTTGATCGCGGAAGTGACAAGGGTTTTCAAATCTACCACAGTCCCCTCAACACGTGCAAGTGTGCGCTCGGCCGTCTCCCTTTGCGACGTGGCATTCGCCCTCTCCACACGAATCTCCTGGACCGCGTCAGCAACATCAGAGCGCCCGCGCTTATCAGATTCCTTGAGGCGGGCCTCGATGCGGCTCATGGTTACCATCCCGCGCTCAAACCCATCAACTCCGACAACTTCTCCCGCTGCTGTGCCAACAGCCTTTCCTGCGTCTTGGCCATCTCCTTCCCACGACGGACGGCGGCCTCGAGACACATTACCTCGTGCACAAGCGTGAGTTGAGGCAATGCAGACAGCTCCTCGAAGGATCGGTTGCCGCTCTTGCGCGGCCCCTTTCCGACATCATCACTGCCAGAAGGTCGCCCGGCCGCCTCCGTTCTCAATTCCTGTACGCGGGGTGCACTGGCCTTGTCCGCGAAGTCTGCAGCGAGGGCCTTCCCCACGGTTCCCTCGGAAAGCTCTTTGCCTTTGTCTGCGGCACCGACCTCAATGGTTGCTCCCGCGGAAGAATCTCCCGCAACCTCGGTATCAACAGCCGCGGTATCGACAGCAGGTGTCGTACTCGCGGGTGGGGGTTCCGTTGGGCCCGCACCGGTATCGGCTGCACTGTCCGCATGGTGTCCCGCGTGGGCCGCCGTTGCTTGTTCGCGAACAATTTTGCATGCACAAAACATGCTATAGAACCATTTAAGCGCCCATGCTACAATAAAACACAGCGGCATCGCATCACCGACCCCGCGGATACGAGACGGGAATGACCCGAAGGCGCTTTAGAAACCAGAAAGAATCAAGCACGCCGAAAGATTCAGGACCAAAATTACACGGAAAAGGAGACGGAGCTACCGCACGCGAACTTTAAACCGTGGGGAACGAGTACTCATACCTGCGATAATGAGCTCAGGCATGCGCCTTCGCGGGGGACTTCCCGCGCCTAGAAAACTCGTGCACAAAGAAGTCTTTCTGGTCAGCGAGCACGCATACCTTCAAAGACGTGGAGGCAATGGCGAGGATGAGGCTTTGCGCAGGGTGGGCGGGGTGATGAAAAGCAATGAAAACGGAAAACAAAACAGAACAATGAGTAATGCTGGCCTTTTATACCCTCGGTTTAACGTTCCCTCTGCCTCGTGCGGAACACCCCAATTTCCCGTCTGCTGTCATGCACACTGTGATGCGTCAGATGGGTGCCACGTGTTCACCCGCAGTGTAATATCGCGCATAGGTTTCGCAAGTTACGAGTACTGTACCGAAATTACAACTTCAAGTGGGGTACACAATTTGTGTCGCGGAAAAGCATATAGGGAAACCAATGGCGGGGTTGGAGAAATAAAAAGAAACCTAACAGGGGAGAGAGCAGGAGCAATCCCAGCAAGGGCTTTGGCTCGCGGGGTGCCTTTTTAAGTTCACATTCTTTTACGGGTTATTGGTGCGTGTTTTCCACGTTGAGTCCGGCCAGGCCCCTGCTAAACCCTCCCGGGCCTCTGAGGCTCGCGAGACCGTTGATCCCCGTCCCCTAGCCTACACGAAAGGGGGTTGTGTGGCTTCAGGCGGTCACCGAGCCTGCTCGGTGGCCAGGAGCTGCGCCAGCCTGCTTTCCGAGCACTGCTTTTATAGTTGTTGAGCATTACTATAACTAGCTTAATGTTTACAACCACAGACGTCCCTCCATGGGGAATAGTTTGATGATTGAAGACTACTCTAACGTTGGACCTTTCGACAAACTAACCTAGTTTAATTTTCTAATGGAACTAGACATTCATACTACTTTGATGTAACGCTAACAGAGGATTTTGACCAGAAAAAACTAGAAGTAAAGAAGGGATCAACATCAATAGCACAGTAGAAATGAGGTCCAAGAACTGATGCTGGCCATCGAACATACGTAGTGTCGTTGGCAGTTGGCAGTCTGGAAGATCTACAAAGCTCGGTTACAGTCGGTCGTGGGCAGCACGCTGGGTCTCGCGTTCTACCGAGACCGCTACTGGCCACAAACCTAAGCAGTCTACTCAAATGTATTGGTGGATTGTTTAAACGGTTGTAATCTATTATCCTGCTTGTCATAACCGTCATGGTTTTCCGACATTGAACCTAAGTGTTTGCAGCCCTAGCAATTTGAACAGCACTAAAATGAGCTTAGTGGTTTCGATCACAAGCGTCACACGGCTAGGTTTAAGAGGTTTCGACTAAAATATGCAGACCAGAGAATAGCAAAATGAAGAAAAAGATCAATGTCAAGAGAAAATAGTAGAAAGAAAAGGAAGGATCAATGTCAAGAGGAGTTAAAAAGAGGTCGAAGAACGAATGTGCGCAACCAAGGGTTCGAAGAGTGGTAGATTAAATGAGGGAAGCGATCACGGAAGGAAGTCTCGATAGCGTAAACTACTTCTTCAGTTTAGCCAGCTTCTTCGGCTCCTCGATCTTGATCTTCTTCCAAACATCTTTCCCAAACATCTTCTCTCCCCACCCATCACCCACCATCTGGGCGGCGAAGAGGAGGTACCCGACCTTGCGGCGCTTGTTCTCCGTCGTCTTATCCTTGCCGGGATTATCCCTCTTCGGAGGTGGCTCGTTTCCGAGAATCACCCCATCCGCCAGTGCGCTGATCGAACTCCGACCCACCACGTCCTTCTCGATCTTCGCAATGGCATCTCGGGTGGCCTCCTCCATTTCGTTAGCCCTGTATTTCTCGACCGCGAGCATCACGTTCCTCATCCGCTTCATTTTTTTGTTGCCAGTATCGTCCTTCACACCCTTCTCAATGTACGAGAAAGTGGGGTAGAAACTATTTTCTGACGACAGCTGGCGGAGAGTCTTCCCTTCCATCAAAAAGGTCACCTTCACCCAGTGCTCCCATGCCTTTGCGACAGACTCCGAGTCCCGCCAGGGTTTAACGACAAGGTCGAAAAATGCCCGCACTGGAGTGCTGGCTTGTGCCTTCCCAGGCTTCGGAGCCTCCCCACCAGCTTCCTCCTTTGCCGACGAGCCCGACCCTCGATCAGCAGCCTGTGCGTTCGCGCTGCTCTCTGCACGCGCCTTTAGAGCAGCCAGCTCCTCTTTGAGCTGCTTGTTTTCAGCGGCCGTCTTCTTCTCCCTCTCTTCGGTTTCAGCGAGCCTGTTCTTCAGCACGCCAATCTCGTGATCCTTCTGACCACATTCCGTCCGCCACAGGTTGTTCTCTACGAGGAGCTTCTGGTACTTTCGGGATGAGTTCAGCTTGTAGATCGCATCCTGCGGGAAAACGGATGAGGGATTTCAGGCATTGTCAATGCTGTCGAAATATAAGGGCCGATCAGAGAACTGATGTACTCACAGCGGCTGCAGAGGTGCCTCTGGCTTCACGAAGTTCAATGCCAGCCTTGTGCATGATTGCCACTTTGATGGCCCATTTCTGGAAGAGATGGTGGCGGCAGAGCGGATTCATGTCCGTGTACGGGTGGCGCGGGCACTGGCATGGCCGTCTTGTACCGTCGAAAAGATGGTCGTGATCGGGGCAGTAGAACCACCACATGGCAAGGTCCTGTGCCACGATGTCTCGCCCAGGGTTTGCAAGAGCCTCCAAAAAACTTCTGCCAGAGTGGTGCGGCTTATCCAGATTCTCGCGTTTGTACTTATCAACCTGAGATGGTAGGACAGAGAAGACATTCAGCTCTGCCTAGCGCAACAACTTTAGACACTGCAAAAGGCTGGGTAATCAAGGGGTACCTTTGCCAAATCAGATTCGAGGCGCGGGAAGATGAACAGCTTGAAGAGGTCTTGCAACTGTTTCCACTCGGTGTCGTTGTCGAGTTTAGCGTGCGCTCTGCCGATGTAGTAATCTCCCGGCTCCCCACTGAATCCGGCCATCATCAAGACCGGCCAAAACGGAACGCCCACGACATAGGATTTTCGCATCTCGCCCTGCTCCCAGCCGCCGAGAGCGTTGATGTCGGGGTCGGGACAGCGATCGTCACTCAGGCCTTGGGCTCCCGATCGGCGAAACGCATGGGTCTTTTTGCTAATCCGCCAGGGCGGTCGCGCTACGTCGTTCATGACCCAATTAATCCAGTTGTTGTGAGTCACGTACGGAAGCTCTTCCTGCAGTTGTTCCCTTCCGTGCCTCAATGGGAAGAAAATGTGCTTCTTAGACCACTGAAGGGGGTCGCTGAAGTCCAGTGGCGGAATGATGTCCGCTCCGAATCGCAGTGGCACGAGGTCGTAGACGAAATGAATCCACAGAAAAAGACCACCAACACCGCAGAGCGCGAAGTTGATGTGCCGGGCCAAGAATTGGTGGGTCAGCCTGTTGGTCGCATTCGTCTTGGACTTTCGAGAGGCGAAAACCACCACAGGGAGATCCTTCTGGCGGTCGGGGACGGCCGTGCTGCTACGCGTGTGGCGGACAAACATGTTGGCGAATCGAAGAGCACGAATGCTGCATCCCCTCCCCAACATTTGGTGTGCGAGTTGAATCATCACCTGCACCGCAAAACACCGCCAGAGACTTTCTGATAGTGCAACCCTGGCTCTCTGGTAGCACTCTTTGATCTCCCTCAGAAAGTGCTTCTCGTGCAGGTCCGCGTACTGCTCCGACGTGTAGCAATCGTCCAGAGAGTTTCGGTGCTGATCCTTGCCCTCCCTGCATAGACCAACGTGAAACGTGCTTAGGCATCGAATTTTCGAGAATCTGTTTGGCCATGAAGTGTGTAAATACTCACGCAACCTGCTTGTCGTGCAGCTGTTTCAGCTTGAGCTTCATGTACTCCCGCGATTCGCCGATGTACTCATCTGCTTGGGCCTTCGGGTAGTCGTAGAGTCGAGCTTCAAGTCTGCCCAGGAAGCCCAAAGCGCTCATCTTTGCCTTCATCATGCTCGGCGTACTAGGGATGGGCTCCTTTCCAGCCACTGTCAGAATGAACGGACTGGAATGAATGAACTAGCAGTGAAATGAGTACAAGTACCTAACCCTAGAATTGTGTACCCCCTATAGGCTAACCCACTGCAGCCTAAACAAGCACAACATATATAATGTTTGACACACCCCCATAGGCAAAGTGGGGGAGAGCAAGGGGTCACAAGACCAGTCAAAGCAAAGCAAAACAAGCTCAGGGTGGATCTCAAGGATACCACACAAATTCCGAGCACAAGCAAGTGGTCACAAGACCAGTTCACATGCAGGTTGATAATATAGCAAGAGATACAGTGATCACAACCTAGCAAGTGTAAACATGCAGGCATATATATAAAGATCACAGTACAAGCAGAGTCAAGAAGTAAGTAAGTGAGGTCCAGCAGGCACAAGGCCTAGAAGAGTACAGAAACGCTGATGGTCACAAGGCTGAAGCGCCTTGGTGAACACATCAGCAAGGTTGGCCTCAGTGGCCACGTAACGCAGACGTAGCTGACCACGCTGCTGCAGCTCTCGAGCAAGGAAGTACCGCAGGGCAATGTGCTTCGTTCTGTGCTCCAGTCTGTGCTCCTCACACAAGGCAATGGCAGCCTGGTTGTCGACGTACAGCACTGGAGGAGAACGAGGCCGCTCTCCCAAGTCGGTCAGCAGGTAGGTCAGCCAGCGTAGCTCCTGGGCAGCCATGGCTGTGGCGTAGATCTCAGCCTCACAACTGGAGCTGAGAACAGAAGAAGAGCGTGTAGAACGCCAGGAAACTGAGCCGGAGCCAAGGCTGAAGGTGTAACCCTGAGACGACCGCTGAGTAGCCTGGTCGTCCGCCCAAGAAGCGTCTGAGTGTCCAGTAAGTACAACTCGGTCTCGCCCTCCAAGCACTAGCCCCATGCCCGACGTACTGCACAAGTAGCGCAACACCCTCTTAGCGGCATCCATGTGCTCCTTCCTGTGACGGCCAGGAGCGACATAGCGCGCAAGGATGCTAAGAGGGTATGCAAGGTCAGGTCGAGTGCAGGTCATCAGGTACATGAGGCAGCCCACAAGCTCTGGATACGGGCCACTCGGTTCTACGGACTCATCCGAAGGCAGAGCTGAGAGCGAGTGACCGGTAGGCAGAGGAGTGGACTGAGGCGAGGAGTACGTGAAGCGGAAGCGCTGAAGGATCTGCTGCACCATGTGTGACTGAGTCAAGGTGATGGTGCGCCGTGCTCTGTCCCGGGTGATCCGCAAGCCAAGATAGCTTGTCAGTTCACCCAGGTCTGTGCACGTGTGTCTCCTCTGCAGCTCCGACTTCACGTGGGCGAGTGCCGCGGTGTCAGCAGTGGCAAAGACTAAGTCGTCGACGTACACGAGGATGTAGAACGGCGGCAGCGAGGTGTCTGTGCGTAGAAACAGTGACGGGTCAGCAGTAGAGGGAGCGAACCCAAGAGCCGCAAGTGTCGTCCTCAGTGTGTCGTGCCACTCACGCGGTGCCTGGCGGAGACCGTAGACCGGCCGCTGGAGCCTCCACTGGGTACCAGGAGGAACCGACCCAGTGAAGCCAGGAGGGCGGCGCAGCCAGATCTCCTCGTGCAGGCTGCCCTGCAAGAAAGCAGTGCTGAAGTCAAGTGAGTGAAGCTCGTAGTCGCGCTGAGCGGCTATGTGCAGCAGCACCCGAAGAGTGGTCATCTTCGGGGTGGGGGAGAAGGTCTGGAAGAAGTCGATTCCCTCTCGCTGACTGAAGCCTCGAGCAACGTAGCGCGCCTTGAAGACAGGAGGAGAACCCGGTGGCCGCTTCACCCTGAAAATCCACATGCCACTGACGATGTTCGCCCCAGGTGGGGGAACCTCGTCGACGTAGGTGCCTGTGGACTTCCAGGAAGCCATCTCTGCGTCCATGGCTGTCTGCCACTGAGAGGAGTAGGGACCCGCCATCGCCTCAGCGTAAGAGCACGGGGTCGGGATGTCTGGTGCATCCGGGTCTCCCTCAGGGGCAACTAGCATGGACACGAGATGGGGCAAAGAAGCAGCAAAGCACTGGAACTCCTCCTGTCTGTCCTCAAGGACGTCCGTGCCAAGAGCACACACACCCCCGACGGACGGAGGACAGACAGACTCAGACTCGGACTCAGCAACAAGGCTAGTGGCGTAGTCTAGACGACACCGGGCAGCAAAGTCTATCAACTCAGCGACCAGAGCAGACGCAGCAGAGGACTCAAAGGTAGGGTCAGTGACAACAGTGGCGAGAAGACGGGTGACAGTGGGACTGGCAGCACGACGGGAGTCAGACTCCGGGTCAGGAAGAGTAGGTAGAGAGGACGCAGGAGGAGACGGCAGCGGGACACGCTGAGGAGCAGTGGAGGGACGCAGAGTCATGTAGTGAGTGCCAGGGACAGGAGGAGGACGCTCACGTGGGACACGACGACCAGTGCGAGCAGTACGAACAGGCGACGCAGGACGAGACGCAGGCTCACGACGCTCTGCAAGACCTCCTGTGGGACTAGTGTAAGGAGAGGGACCAGGGAGAGGCGAGGCAGGCGGTAACTGTGACTGCGACTGGACAGGCGGAGGACACTCTACGGAGGGAGGAGGACAAGGAGGAGGAGCCTGACCAAGAACCTGCTGAAGGAGCGGTACGAAGTACGGTCGCGGCCGGGCAGCGTCTCCAGAACCAGCAGAGACACCAGCGCCAGGGTCCTCAGTACCAGCAGCAGCTCCACCGCCCGGGTCCTCAGCACCAGCAGTAGCTCCACCGCTCGGGTCCGCAGCACCAGCAGCAGCTCCACCGCGCGGGTCCTCAGCACCAGCAGGAACTCCACCAGCCGGGTCCTCAGCACCAGCAGCAGCTCCAACGTCCGGGTCCTCAGCACCAGCAGCAGCTCCACCAGCCGGGTCCTCAGCACCAGCAGCAGCTCCAACGTCCGGGTCCTCAGCACCAGTAGCAGCGCCACCGCTCGGGTCCTCAGCACCAGCAGCAGCTCCACCAGGCGGGTCCTCAGCACCAGCAGCAGCTCCACCAGTCGGGTCCGCAGCACCAGGAGCACCACTCCGAAGACTGCAGCGCCTCGTGTACCACTCTCGGATCTGCTGGAGGGGGGGGAGCTCCCGGGCAGGAGCAGGGGGCAGGACAGTCTCATGTGCCAGAGAGCGACACGAGCAGGGGGCGGACAGCTGACCTGACGCAGACGCAGACGCGGACGCAGCTACCTGAGGGGACTCAGTGGTCAGTGTGTACAGGTCCGACCCGGGCTGCCGAGTGAAGGTAGCCAGGTGACGGCCCGTCCGAGCACACGTGCAGTGTGTCACGCGCTCGTATGCAGGGGTAAACTGGTGAACACCCCCGTCCTGGAGCGCACTACCTGCCACCAAGTTCGTAGAGAACGAGGGGAGGTAGAGACCTGACAGTGTGCCTGACGGGACCGCAGGACAAGGAAGGACAGTGGAGGAGGTCGCAATGACCGGACCCCCAGAGGGGTCAGCGAGGGAGACAGCAACTGGCCGAGCGAGTGGCTCAAGGACAGTGCGGTCACGAAAGAAACAGCGAGAAGCACCTGAGTCCAGTGTGAAGGTGTGCAGTGCCGCAGTCGACTCAGTACCAGGGGGCACAGACTCACGAGCACCTAGAGCAGCAGCCTCACCAGGACCTGGGGCAGCAGACTCACTAGCACCTAGAGCGGCAGTCGGACTGGTCAGAATGCCCGGGTCGGGCGGAACACGCAAGTACTGAGCACCCTCTCCACTAGTAAACATCGCATACATGGCAGTGAGAATAGCATCAAAGTCTAGAGCCCAGATATCAACCCCCTGCCTCTCCAGATCAGCCCAGCGGGGCAGCTCAGCGCCAGCAGGAAACTGGGCGCGCCATGCGTCGGTAAGGCGCGAGAAACAGCGCTGCGTGGGGTGCGGCCTCCCACACGTCTGGCCAGTGCGGTCACCAGTGCGGATGACGTACGTGCAGGTAAAACCACCCCCCCCCCCCCCCCCCCCCCCCCCCCCCGCTGCGAATACCACTCACGTGCCTCCTGGAGCGACGGGGCGTGCTGCTGGCTCTGGCCACCGCCAGCGCCTCCACGACCACCACCGCCGCCGCCACCGCCACCGCCTCGGCCACCTCCACCCCTGCCGCCGCCACGACCACCTCCGCCTCCGCTGCCGCCTCCGCCCCTGCCACGGCTCCCGCCGCTGCTGTCACCACCCCCATTGCCGCCACGAGCCTCTCCAGTCCCACCTCCACTCCCACCGCCTCCACCCCCGCCTCCCCCGCCGCCACCTCCACCCTTGCCCCCCTTGCTCCTGCGGCGCCCGCTCGGAGCAGACGCGGTCCCGACCTTCTCAGCACCAAGGAGGTCGACAGTAGCAGCAGAGGCGACAGAGGGGAGAAGGGGGGAAGGGGAACACCCCTCAAAGAACGGGGTGCGGGGGTCGCCACGAGAGGTGCCTACAGCGACGATGCTCGCCTCAGCTGCAAGCAGTTCCTTCTCGAGGAGGGCAATGGTGAGCTCAGTGGGAGAGCGAGCGAGGAAGTGGTCCCTGACTGCGCGCAGAGAGTCAGGGAGGCGGGTGACGATGTGGTAGAGCGTGATCCAGAGCGGGGGGGGGTTGCTGGCAAGGAACTCGTCAGGCATAGCAGCGCGAAAGCGGGCCTCACTAGTCTTGAGGTGGGTGATGAGGTCAGCGACTGTGCTGAAGGAGGCCAGGTCGGGGAACAGGTAGGGGAGGGTGAGGCGGCCGAGTGTGGCAGAAGCAGGTGAGGAGTAACGAGCAACGACAGCAGTGTACAGGTCCTTAGCAGTCTTGTGCTGGCCAAAGTGCTCGCGCTCATCTAGCGGCAGGGAGTTGCGAATAGCGAAGCGAGCGTGGGCGTCACGAGTCTGCCACTGTGAGCGCTGAGTGCTGTCTGCAGTGGTAGGAGGGGCAGTAGCGTGACCGAGGGCATGATCGTACAGCGAAATATCCTCCTTGGCAGTGAGCCGTAAGAAGAGGTGCAGGTCATCTAGCCAGGTGTCAAACTTCACTGGGCGGCCCTCAGCATCGAAAGCAAGTACGGGAGGACTAGCCATAGTGGCAGCAGTAGTAGCAGTAGCAGCAGTAGTAGCAGTAGCAGCAGTAGCAGTAGCAGCAGTAGCAACAGTTGTAGTAGCAGTAGGAGCAGTAGTAGGAGCAGCAGTATCGACGGGGCTGCTAGTACGGGCGGCGCGGCTCGGTCGGGCGGCGCGGCTCGGTTCAGGTAGGGCGGCGCGGCTCGGTTCGGGCTGCGCGGCTGCGCGGAGCCGCTAAGCGGGGCGGTACGGGGCCGCGGGGGCCTCTAAGCGGGGCTCGACGGGGCCGCGGGGCCGCTAAGCGGGGCGCAACGGGGTTGCGGGGCCGTGAGGTGGGACGCGACGGGGCCGCGGGGCGTCTAAGCGGTACGTGACGGGGCCGCGAGGCCTCTAAGCAGAGCGCGACGGGGCCGCGGGGCCTTTAGGCGGAGCGCGATCGACGGGGCCAGCGGGGCCGGGAAAAAAAAAGGAGTAGCGCGCGAGAGCGCTAAGTGGGGGAGGCGCTAAAGCGCGCTTCGATAGTAGGGCGCACGAGGGCGCTAGTAGGTAGTAGGTAGTGGTGGGCCCGAAGAGAACTTAGGTCCTAGCGAAGGACCTGCTCTGAAACCATGTCAGAATGAACGGACTGGAATGAATGAACTAGCAGTGAAATGAGTACAAGTACCTAACCCTAGAATTGTGTACCCCCTATAGGCTAACCCACTGCAGCCTAAACAAGCACAACATATATAATGTTTGACAGCCACCACTTCTTCGCCTCTCCGCATCATCTCGGCCTGCGCGGGGGTTTCCTCTGCCATGTACCGCAGGAACCTCTGAATCCTCCATCCAGTAACACGGGGCCCGTGGAGATAAACTTCATCCAAATCCACAGTTGACCACTCCGCCTTTTTGTCGTTCCCCAGATGGCTTCCAACCTCGTCAGGATTCAGCGGGTCCAGACGCTCCTCCGCCGGAACCTCAGTCTTGGGCAGCGTTGACATGAACATGATGACCCACCACTTGTAGTGCAGCCAATACAGGATGTAGTCTTTTCTGGTTTTCGCCGCGAGACAATCGAAGGGGACCTTTGCGCGGCGAATCCTGCTGGCCACGTCGGCCTGTTTTCGAACTGACTCGTGCGTAGCTGATGCTGGCCCATCTGCATTTCTCTGAGGCGCGGCCTGCGATGCTTGCCCCTCCGCATTTCCCTGTGGCGCAGCCTGTGGTTCTTGTCCCTCAGCATTTCCCGCGGGCGCAGCCGACGATCCGACACCATGTGCACTTCCATGGGGCGATGCCTCTGATTCTGGGCCGTTCACATTGCCACGGGCCGGTTCCACAAAAAGAATTCGACAGGTGGCATTATCTTCAGAGGTTGGGCTTCGGCTAGCATTTTCCTCCCAATTCTCCTCAAACAACGCTCGGTGGGGGTCGTCGTCATCGTCCGCGAGATTAATGAACACCCCCCTCGGAATTCCGCCCCTCGGAATTCCGCCCTCAGCCACATTTCCCTCGACCCCGACTTCAGGGTTCGAGGCCGGAAATTCCTCCTGAGCATCCAGGAACACATCGCCCCCAACAGCTGCCTCGAATTCCCTGTCCGCATCGAGGTCCCCAGTTAGATCTGTCAGAATCCCAGCCACTAACCACTGGGATAAAAGGGCTTGTTTGTGTAGCGGGTGAGTGCGCCCATAACCCCCCAGGCCGCAATGCCTGTAACCCTTCCCTAGGATCGATCGGGGATCACCAGTGGACCTCTGACACCCCCCCGCACTGGGATGCCCGAAGTGCACACACCGGGATTCGAACCCGAGACCTTTGCTCTGATACCATGTCAGAATCCCAACCACTAACCATTGGGATAAAAGGGCTTGTTTGTGTAGCGGGTGAGTGCGCCCATAACCCCCCAGGCCAACATGCCTGTAACCCTTCCCTAGGATCATCGGGGATCTCCAGTGGACCTCTGACAAGATTAATCGGGGCATTGGGCAGTTGGCAGTCTGGAAGATCATGATACTCCTCATTGAGGTCGAAATCGAGAGCTGCGCTAAGAAAATTACCCGTACCGCCTTCGCCCGCCATCACGGTGTACCTGTTTCAGAGGACTCTATGCTCCACATGTGCGCGAAACCTGTCCTGAAACGCACAAGCGAAATCTAAAACGCCTCGTCGGGAATGGGATGGACTGCCAGCAAGCCCAGGAGCATGTTGTGCTGAAAAGAGACTCGTGATCGGAGTTGTTACGAGGAGAATAAACTATGAATGTGACCCTTCTGAGTGGAGAACAATGATGATCTGAAACGGATGTTGTATTTAGAGTTCTTTACCATCTCGAAAATGTTAAACTGTATTATGCTTGTAGGCTGTAGTGGGGTAGCCAATATGGGGTACAACCCCAACTAGGGTTTCATATTTGTACCCAAACTTCTGCTAGTTCATTCATTCTTGCCTAGTTACTTTGAGATGGTATTCAGAGCAGGAGGTCCCTAGGACCTACCGACCGTTTTTTTTTTTAAGGGCCCACCACCGCTCGCATGCGGTTACCACGCTACCCCGTGCCCTAGCCTCGTAGCGCCCTCGTGCGCCCTCGTTAGCGCCCTCGCGCGCCCCTCGTTAGCGCCCTCGCGCGCCCCTCACTAGCGCCCTCGCGCGCCCCTTGCTAGCGCCCTCGCGCGCCCCTCGCTAGCGCCCTCGCGCGCCCCTCGCAGAGTCGCCCGCCCGCCGCGCTGCCTGCTCGCAGCGTCGCCCGCTCGCTCGCTGCCCGCTCGCAGCGTCGCCCGCCCGCCCGCTGCCCGCTCGCAACGTCGCCCTCCCGCCTCGCTGCCCGCTTGCAGCGTCGCCCGCCCGCCCGCTGCCCGCTTGCAGCGTCGCCCGCCCGCCCGCTGCCCGCTTCGCAGCCGCCCGCCGCGCTGCCCGCTCGCCGCGTCGCCCGCCCGTCCCGCTGCCCGCTTCGCAGCCCGCCCGCCACAATTCCCGCCTGCAGCGCCGCCCGCCTCGCCTGCTGCTCCCTGACTGTGCACCGCCGCTTGCTCCTGCTGTGGCTGCTAGCTTCGCTCTAGCGCGTCCCCTCTGCTGCTGCCGCTGCTCTGCTGTGCCCTCACGCCTGAGCTATGGCCTCTATTCGCGTTCTTTCCTTCGATGCTGAGGGCCGTCCCGTGCAGTTCACTTCCTGGCTCGATGACCTGCAGTTGTATCTTATGAGCAATAGCACGGACCACATCTCCCTCTATGACTACGCGTCTGGTGCTGCCGCTGCTCCTGCTGCCACAGCCGAGCTTAGTGTACGTTCACAGTGGCAGACTCGTGACGCTGCAGCTCGCCTGGCTATTCGCAGTCACCTGCCGTTAGCTGAGCTAGAGCACTTTGGCGACTGCAAAACCGCTAAGGCCCTATATGACGCTGTCGTTGCTCGCTACTCCTCACCTGCCACAGCCGAGCTTAGCCGTCTCATGCGGTCTTACCTGTTCCCTGACCTGTCCACCTTTGCTACAGTCGCCGATCTTATCACTCACCTTCGCACTAGTGATGCTCGCCTGCGTGCCGCCCTTCCCACCGAGTTCTGCGCTAAGAACCCCCCTCCCCTGTACTGGACACTCCACTTCATAGTCACCCGTCTCCCTGACACCCTCAGCTCAGTGCGCGACTATTTCCTTGCTCGCTGTCCCACTGAGCTCACTGTCGCCCTCCTAGAGGAGAAGCTGCTAGCAGCCGAGAAGAGCATTGTGGCTGTTGGTGCTGCTCGCGGCGCTCCTCGCACCCCCATCTTTGAGGGGTGCTCTCCCTCTCCCCTCGCTCCCTCCTATGCTACTGCTGCTGCTGTTGACTTCCTTGGTGCTGAGTCTGCTGGCGCTGCTTCTGCTCCTGGTGGGAGGCGCCGCACCGGCAAGGGCAAGGGGGGCAAGGGTGGCGGGGGTGGCGCTCGGGGGGAAGGGGGTGGGGGAGGTGGGGGGGGAGGCGGTGCTGGAGGGAGCGGTGGCGGGAGTGCCGGTGGGAGTGGGGCCGGCGGCGGAGGCGGGGGCGGCGGCGGGAGCAGTGGCGGTGGTGGCAGCGGCGGCGGTGGCGGCGGTGGCGGTAGTGGCGGTGGCGGTGGCGGTGGTGGCGGTCGGAGCGGAGGTAGTGGCGGCGGTGGAGGTCGGAGTGGAGGCACCGGCTCGGGCCAGAGCTCCCAGCAGCAGCAGCGTCCCCAGTCGACCCAGCAGCTTCGTGAGTGGCTTGCTCAGCGTGGGACGTCGGGGGGCAGTGGCCGCTGTTCCTATGTCATTCGCACAGGTGATCGCAAGGGGCAGACGTGTGGAAAGTTCCACACTCAGTACCGCTGCTTCTTCCGCCTTGACGACGCTTGGCGTGAGGAGATGGGCGAGGATGTTGAGCGCCCTCGCTGGGCTGAGCTGATGAGGGCTGGTGTTGATATCTTTGCTCTTGACTATGATGCTATTATTGCTGCCATGTATGCATTGACTGTTAGTGCCGAGGGAGACTGTTACTTGTGTGTGCCGCCTGACCCAGGTATAGAGCCCGCTGCCCTAGGTGCTAGTGAGTCTGCTCTCTCTGGTATGGTGCCCCCTGTACCTGCTCCCTCCAGTGCTGTCCCGGCTGTTTGCGAGTCTGCTCTCTCAGGTACAGCACCCACAGAGACTGCTCTCTCAGGTACCGCACCGGCTGAGGCCTGTCACACCTTCACCCTTGACTCAGGTGCTTCCCGCTGTTTCTTTCGTGACAGTACTGAGCTCACACCGCTTCCTGCACCGGTCCCAGTCTCCTTGGCTGACCCCTCTGGGGGCCCAGTCCTTGCCCAGTCCACCACTGTGCTCCCTTGTCCGGCGGTTCCGTCTGGCTCGTTGACGTGTTTTCACCTCCCCTCGTTCTCGACGAACCTGGTGAGCAACGCTGTCATCCAGGATCAGTGGGTTGACACCTTTACTCCTGGAGGATAGCGTGTGGCGATCTGCACGTGCTCCAGGACCGGCCGTCACCTGGCTACGTTTACCCGTCGGCCGGGGTCGAGTCTCTACACACTGACCACTGCGTCTCCTCAGGTCGCTGCTGTCGGTCAGGTGTCTGCGTCAGGTCTGGTAGCCCACGCCTGTGAGTGTCGTTCCCTGTCGCACCAGACTCTTCTCTGGCACCACCGCCTGGGTCACCCCTCCTTGCCACGCCTTCGTGGCATGCACCGTCGCCACCTTGTGTCTGGTCTTCCCAGGTCCCTCCCTCCCCTCCCTGCCTCGCCTGCGCCGCCTTGCCTTCCTTGCGTCGAGGGGCGGCAGCGCGCCGCTCCTCACTCCTCCTCGTTCCCCCCGACAGAGGCTCCTCTGCAGACCCTCCACCTGGACGTGTGGGGCCCAGCCCGCGTTCGTGGTCAGGGCGGTGAGCGGTACTTTTTGCTGGTTGTCGACGACTACTCGCGTTACACCACGGTCTTCCCCTTGCGCACCAAGGGTGAGGTCCCTGCTGTTTTGATCCCTTGGATCCGCACGGTTCGTCTCCAGCTCCGCCGCCGTTTCCGGACGGATCTTCCTGTCCTGCGTCTGCACTCTGACAGAGGTGGTGAGTTTTCCTCCGATCTCCTGAGGACCTTCTGTCAGGCGGAGGGCATTGAGCAGACCTTCACGCTTCCGGACTCCCCACAGCAGAATGGGGTTGCTGAGCGCCGCATTGGCCTGGTCATGGAGGTCGCTCGTACCTCCTTGGTCCACGCGGCGGCTCCCCATTTTCTGTGGCCGTTTGCTGTCCGGTACGCCGTGCATCAGCTCAACCTCTGGCCCCGTGTCTCCTTGCCGGAGACCTCGCCCACACTGCGTTGGACGGGGAGGTTGGCGATGCGTCGCGCTTCCGGGTGTGGGGTGCTCGTGCCCTTGTCCGCGATACGTCTGCGGACAAGCTCTCCTCCCGCACGCTTCCCTGTGTCTTCCTTGGCTTTGTCCCTGACGCGCCTGGCTGGCAGTTTTACCACCCCACCTCGCGCCGGGTCTTCGCCTCTCAGGATGTCACCTTTGACGAGTCGGTCCCTTTTTACCGTCTCTTCCCCTACCGCACTGCCCCCCTCCCCCCCCACCGCTTTTCCTTGCTCCTGGGTCCCCTTCCCCCTTCCCCCTCAGGGTCCTGCTCCTTCAGGTGTCTCTCAGGTAGACCCTCCTCCCGTCGCTGAGCCTGTCGAGGTCACAGGTGACTCAGGTGCTGCTGCAGGTGGTACTGCTGGGAGTGCTGAGCCTGGGGGTGCTGAGCCTGCGGGTGCTGGGCCTGGGAGTGCTGGGACTGCGGGTGCTGGAGCTGAGGGTACTGTGCCTGAGAGTTTGCCGCCTGGGGGTGCTGAGCCTGGGAGTGCTGCGAATGATAGGGGGTGCTGAGCCTGCGTGTGCGGAGTCTGGGGGTGCTGAGTCTGGGGGTGCTGAGCCTGCGGGTACTGAGCCTGGGGGTGCTGCTGCTGAGCCTACGGAGCCTCGGGTTGCTGCGTCTGGGGGTGCTCCGGTTCGGGGTGCTGAGCAGTCTCTCACACCGCAGCAGCTTCGTGACTGGTACGTCCGGCGCTTCCGCCGTCCTCGTGGCTCGGCTGGAGTTGGGGGTGCTGGAGCTGCTCGTCCTGGGGGTACTGGAGCTGGGGACTCTGGCGCTGGCGGTGCTAGCGGAGTTGGAGCTGCCGCCTCTGGGGGTACTCTTCCTAGCGGTGCTGCGGACCCTGGGGGTGGCGCTGCTGCTGGTGCTGCGGACCCACCTGGTGGAGCTGCTGCTGGAGCTGAGGACCCGAGCGGTGGCGCTGCTGCTGGTGCTGGGGACCCGGACGTTGGAGCTCCTGCTGGTACTGAGGACCCGGCCGCTGGAGTCTCTTCTGCTTCTGGAGACGCTGCGCGGCCGCGACCGTACTTCGTACCGCTCCTTCAGCAGGTTCTTGGGCAGGCTCCTCCTCCTTGTCCTCCTCCCTCTGTAGAGTGTCCTCCGCCTGTCCAGCCGCAGTCACAGTTACCGCCTGCCTCGCCTCTCCCTGCTCCCTCTCCTTATACTGGTCCCACAGGAGGTCTTACAGAGCGTCGTGAGCCTGAGTCTCGTCCTGCGTCGCCTGTCCGTACTGCTCGCACTGGTAGTCGTGTCCGTCGTGAGCGTCCTCCTCCTGTCCCAGGCACTCACTACATGACTCTGCGTCCCTCTACTGCTCCTCAGCGTGTCCCTCTGCCGTCTCCTCCTGCGTCCTCTTTGCCTGCCATTCCGGACCCTGAGTCTGACCGGTATCGTGCTGAGCACCCTACTGTCACGCGTCTCCTCGCTACTGTTGTCACTGACCCTACCTTTGAGTCCTCGGCTGCGTCTGCTCTGGTCGCTGAGTTGGTTGACTTTGCTGCTGCCTGTCGTCTAGACTACGCTGCTCGCCTTGTTGCTGGGTCTGAGTCTGCGTCTGTCTGTCCTCCGTCCGTCGGGGGTGAGTGTGCTCTTGGCACGGACGTCCTTGAGGACAGGCAGGAGGACTTTGACTCTCTCGCGGCTGCTGTACCTCATCTCGTGGCCTGGTTGCTTGCCCCTGAGGGAGACCCGGATGCACTAGACATCCCCACTCCGCGCACTTACGCAGAGGCGATCTCGGGTCCCTACTCCTCTCAGTGGCAGACAGCCATGGACGCAGAGATGGCATCGTGGAAGTCCACAGGCACCTACGTCGACGAGGTTCCCCCTCCTGGGGCGAACATCGTCGATGGCATGTGGATTTTCAGGGTGAAGCGGCCGCCGGGTTCTCCGTCTGTCTTCAAGGCTCGTTACGTTGCTAGAGGCTTCAGTCAGCGTCAGGGGGTCGACTTCTTCCAGACCTTCTCCCCCACCCCGAAGATGACCACTCTTCGGGTTCTGCTGCACGTTGCTGCTCAGCGTGACTACGAGCTTCACTCTCTTGACTTCAGCACAGCGTTCCTGCAGGGCAGCCTGCACGAGGAGATCTGGCTGCGCCGCCCACCTGGCTTTACTGGGTCGTTTCCTCCTGGTACCCAGTGGAGCCTCCGCCGGCCAGTCTACGGTCTCCGCCAGGCGCCACGCGAGTGGCACGACACACTGAGGACTACACTTGCGGCTCTTGGGTTCGCGCCGTCTACTGCTGACCCGTCGCTGTTTCTGCGCACAGACACGTCGCTGCCGCCGTTCTACATTCTCGTGTACGTCGACGACTTGGTCTTTGCTACTGCTGACACTGAGGCACTCGCTCGTGTGAAGTCGGAGCTGCAGAAGAGACACACCTGCACTGACCTGGGTGAGCTGCGTAGCTACCTTGGCTTGCAGATCACCCGGGACAGAGCTCGCCGCACCATCACCCTGACTCAGTCACACATGGTGCAGCAGGTCCTTCAGCGCTTCGGCTTCCAGTTCTCCTCACCACAGGCCACACCTCTGGCTACCAGCCACTCGCTCTCAGCTCCACCTCCGGACGAGTCCGTAGAGCCGAGTGGCCCGTACCCAGAGCTTGTGGGCTGCCTCATGTACCTGATGACTTGCACGCGACCTGACCTCGCGTACCCTCTTAGCATCCTTGCTCGTTACGTTGCGCCTGGGAGACACAGGCGAGAGCACTGGGAGGCTGCTAAGAGGGTGCTGCGCTATTTGTGCAGTACATCAGGCATGGGGCTGGTGCTTGGAGGACGCGACAGAGTTGTCCTCATTGTCCACTCGGACGCTTCTTGGGTGGACGACCTGGCTACGCAGCGGTCGTCACAGGGTTACACCTTCAGCCTTGGCTCTGGTTCTGTCTCGTGGCGGTCCACCCGCTCTTCCTCTGTTCTCGGCTCTAGTTGTGAGGCTGAGATCTACGCCACAGCCATGGCTGCACAGGAGTTACGCTGGCTCACCTACCTGCTGACTGACTTGGGAGAGCGGCCTAGTTCTCCTCCAGTTCTGTACGGTGACAACAAGGCGGCTCTTGCCTTGTGTCAGGAGCACAGACTGGAGCACAGGACGAAGCACATTGCTCTTCGCTACTTTCTTGCTCGAGAGCTTCAGCAGCGCGGTCAGCTTCGGCTTGTGTACGTGGACTCGAAGGCCAACACTGCTGATATCTTCACCAAGGCGCTCCCGCCTAGTGATCATCAGCGGCACTGTACTTCTTTAGGCCTTGTGTCCACGTTTCCTCACTTGCTCACTGCTTGACATTCTTTGTACTGTACTTTATATATATCTTGTTACTTGCTTGCTAGGTTTTGATCACTGTGTTGTTTGTCTTGTACTATATCTAGCACTGCATGTGAACTGGCCTTGTGGCCTTTACTTGTGCTCGGAGCGTGGTGACGTTGTGATCCACCCTGGGCTTTGCTTTGCTTTGCTGGACTGGTCTTGTGACCCTTTGTTCTCCCCCACTTTGCCTATGGGGGTGTGTTAAACTGTATTATGCTTGTAGGCTGTAGTGGGGTAGCCAATATGGGGTACAACCCCAACTAGGGTTTCATATTTGTACCCAAACTTCTGCTAGTTCATTCATTCTTGCCTAGTTACTTTGAGAGAAAATGCCCTCATTTTTCAGAGTACAAAAAATCCTACGCTGGCTTTACCCTCGGCGTGTGTGCAACTCTGAAAGAAGCAATCAATCATGCCATGCTGGATTGAAGGTATGGAAGCAAGCAGGGTGATGTTTTCCCCTAACATGTATTAAAGTTTGAAGAAGGAATCAAGAAATTACATACAACAGAGAGCTATTTAAGCATTCTGGGACTCAGCCACATGAACATGAGCACCACAACCTCTGACTGCATCCCTTCTTCCCGCCACAGCTTCTCTAGATCTGGTCGCCAGACCCCAGATCTGGGGTTCTTCCTGCCTCTGTCAGAGCATTCGATTGGCTGGCTCCTCCACAATGGCGTAACTCTGAGCAACACCCCTCCCGCAGAGAACGAGTAACTCTGCCACGTGGAACACGGTCGGCGCGCAGTGTAACAGAATGTAAATACACAAGATTTTCAATATAGTTCTATAAATCGGTTGGTGTCGAGATTTGAGTTTTGTAAAAAACAAGCTTAAAGTGGCTTGGTTTATTTTACGAATCTGTTAATAATACCATGTCGCGATCGAAAATTCCGGTAAAAAAGCTGTCTCCTTGTGGTTGCGAAAGTTTATCACGTTTCCGATTGTTTATTTCTTTTGTACTTAAAACCGTTTTGTAAAAATAAACGACTACTAGCCTATAACGGGGTGTATGAAGAACAGTCGTTTGTCATTATGACACCAAAACATCTGCTGTTCGTGTTGATGGGTGGACGCAAACTGCAACTGTGCTCGATATATGCAGTGTAGAAAAGGTTTGTCGTTATCGAAAGAAACAACCTGCTCGTCTGTCTCTTAGCATATGGCCAATGTATCAAAATAACTAGGCAAGAATGATGAACTAGCAGAAGTTTGGGTACAAATATGAAACCCTAGTTGGGGTTGTACCCCATATTGGCTACCCCACTACAGCCTACAAGCATACTACAGTTTAACACACCCCCATAGGCAAAGTGGGGGAGAACAAAGGGTCACAAGACCAGTCCAGCAAAGCAAAGCAACGCCCAGGGTGGATCACAACGTCACCACACTCCGAGCACAAGTAAAGGCCACAAGGCCAGTTCACATGCAGTGCTAGATATAGTACAAGACAAGCAACACAGTGATCAATACCTAGCAAGCAAGCAACAAGATATATATAAAGTACAGTACAAAGAATGTCAAGCAGTGAGCAAGTGAGGAAACGTGGACACAAGGCCTAAAGAAGTACAGTGCCGCTGATGATCACTAGGCGGGAGCGCCTTGGTGAAGATATCAGCAGTGTTGGCCTTCGAGTCCACGTACACAAGCCGAAGCTGACCGCGCTGCTGAAGCTCTCGAGCAAGAAAGTAGCGAAGAGCAATGTGCTTCGTCCTGTGCTCCAGTCTGTGCTCCTGACACAAGGCAAGAGCCGCCTTGTTGTCACCGTACAGAACTGGAGGAGAACTAGGCCGCTCTCCCAAGTCAGTCAGCAGGTAGGTGAGCCAGCGTAACTCCTGTGCAGCCATGGCTGTGGCGTAGATCTCAGCCTCACAACTAGAGCCGAGAACAGAGGAAGAGCGGGTGGACCGCCACGAGACAGAACCAGAGCCAAGGCTGAAGGTGTAACCCTGTGACGACCGCTGCGTAGCCAGGTCGTCCACCCAAGAAGCGTCCGAGTGACCAGTGAGGACAACTCTGTCGCGTCCTCCAAGCACCAGCCCCATGCCTGATGTACTGCACAAGTAACGCAGCACCCTCTTAGCAGCCTCCCAGTGCTCTCGCCTGTGTCTCCCAGGCGCAACGTAACGAGCAAGGATGCTAAGAGGGTACGCGAGGTCAGGTCGCGTGCAAGTCATCAGGTACATGAGGCAGCCTACAAGCTCTGGGTACGGGCCACTCGGCTCTACGGACTCGTCCGAAGGTGGAGCTGAGAGCGAGTGGCTGGTAGCCAGAGGTGTGGCCTGTGGTGAGGAGAACTGGAAGCCGAAGCGCTGAAGGACCTGCTGCACCATGTGTGACTGAGTCAGGGTGATGGTGCGGCGAGCTCTGTCCCGGGTGATCTGCAAGCCAAGGTAGCTACGCAGTTCACCCAGGTCAGTGCAGGTGTGTCTCTTCTGCAGCTCCGACTTCACACGAGCGAGTGCCTCAGTGTCAGCAGTAGCAAAGACCAAGTCGTCGACGTACACGAGAATGTAGAACGGCGGCAGCGACGTGTCGGTGCGCAGAAACAGCGACGGGTCAGCAGTAGACGGCGCGAACCCAAGAGCCGCAAGTGTAGTCCTCAGTGTGTCGTGCCACTCGCGTGGCGCCTGGCGGAGACCGTAGACTGGCCGGCGGAGGCTCCACTGGGTACCAGGAGGAAACGACCCAGTAAAGCCAGGTGGGCGGCGCAGCCAGATCTCCTCGTGCAGGCTGCCCTGCAGGAACGCTGTGCTGAAGTCAAGAGAGTGAAGCTCGTAGTCACGCTGAGCAGCAACGTGCAGCAGAACCCGAAGAGTGGTCATCTTCGGGGTGGGGGAGAAGGTCTGGAAGAAGTCGACCCCCTGACGCTGACTAAAGCCTCTAGCAACGTAACGAGCCTTGAAGACGGGCGGAGAACCTGGCGGCCGCTTCACCCTGAAAATCCACATGCCATCGACGATGTTCGCCCCAGGAGGGGGAACCTCGTCGACGTAGGTGCCTGTGGACTTCCAGGATGCCATCTCTGCGTCCATGGCTGTCTGCCACTGAGAGGAGTAGGGACCCGAGATTGCCTCTGCGTAAGTGCGCGGAGTGGGGATGTCTAGCGCATCCGGGTCTCCCTCAGGGGCAAGCAACCAGGCCACGAGATGAGGTACAGCAGCCGCAAGAGAGTCAAAGTCCTCCTGCCTGTCCTCAAGGACGTCCGTGCCAAGAGCACACTCACCCCCGACGGACGGAGGACAGACAGACGCAGACTCAGGCTCAGCAACAAGGCTAGCAGCGTAGTCTAGACGACAGGCAGAAGCAAAGTCAACCAACTCAGCGACCAGAGCAGACGCAGCCGAGGACTCAAAGGTAGGGTCAGTGACAACAGTAGCTAGGAGACGCGTGACTGTAGGGTGCTCAGCGCGATACCGGTCAGACTCAGGGTCCGGAACGGCAGGCAAAGAGGACGCAGGAGGAGACGGTAGAGGGACACGCCGAGGAGCAGTAGAGGGACGCAGAGTCATGTAGTGAGTGCCTGGGACAGGAGGAGGACGCTCACGACGGACACGACTACCAGCGCGAGCAGGACGAACAGGCGACGCAGGACGAGACTCAGGCTCACGACGCTCTGTAAGACCTCCTGTGGGACCAGTATAAGGAGAGGGAGCAGGGAGAGGCGAGGCAGGCGGTAACTGTGACTGCGGCTGGACAGGCGGAGGACACTCTACGGAGGGAGGAGGACAAGGAGGAGGAGCCTGCCCAAGAACCTGCTGAAGGAGCGGTACGAAGTACGGTCGCGGCCGCGCAGCGTCTCCAGAAGCAGAAGAGACTCCAGCGGCCGGGTCCTCAGGACCAGCAGGAGCTCCAACGCCCGGGTCCCCAGCACCAGCAGCAGCGCCACCGCTCGGGTCCCCAGCTCCAGCAGCAGCTCCACCAGGCGGGTCCGCAGCACCAGCAGCAGCGCCACCCCCAGAGTCGGCAGCTCCAACTCCGCTAGCACCGCCAGTGCCAGAGTCCCCAGCTCCAGCAGCTCCAGTCGCAGTGCTCCCAGAACAACCAGTCCCGGCAGCTCCAGTACCCCCAGTACGAGCACCCCCAGGACGAGCAGCCCCAGCACCCCCAACTCCAGCCGAGCCACTAGGACGGCGAAAGCGCCGGACGTACCAGTCACGAAGCTGCTGCGGTGTGAGAGACTGCTCAGCACCCCGAACCGGAGCACCCCCAGACACAGTAACCCGAGGCTCCGTAGGCTCAGTAGCAGCACCCCCAGGCTCAGTACCCGCAGGCTCAGTACCCGCAGGCTCAGCACCCCCAGACTCAGTACCCCCAGACTCCGCACACGCAGGCTCAGCACCCCCAGTCGCAGCACCCCCAGGCTCAGCACCCCCAGGCGGCAAACTCTCAGGCACAGTACCCTCAGCTCCAGCACCCGCAGTCCCAGCACTCCCAGGCCCAGCACCCGCAGGCTCAGCACCCCCAGGCTCAGCACTCCAGCATACCACCTGCAGCAGCACCTGAGTCACCTGTGACCTCGACAGGCTCAGCGACGGGAGGAGGGTCTACCTGAGAGACACCTGAAGGAGCAGGACCCTGAGGGGGGAGGGGGTCTACCGGAGGGGGACCAGGAGCAAGGAAAAGCGGCGGGGGAGGGAGGGGGGCAGTGCGGTAGGGGAAGAGACGGTAAAAAGGGACCGACTCGTCAAAGGTGACATCCTGAGAGGCGAAGACCCGGCGCGAGGTGGGGTGGTAAAACTGCCAGCCAGGCGCGTCAGGGACAAAGCCAAGGAAGACACAGGGAAGCGTGCGGGAGGAGAGCTTGTCCGCAGACGTATCGCGGACAAGGGCACGAGCACCCCACACCCGGAAGCGCGACGCATCGCCAACCTCTCCCGTCCAACGCAGTGTGGGCGAGGTCTCCGGCAAGGAGACACGGGGCCAGAGGTTGAGCTGATGCACGGCGTACCGGACAGCAAACGGCCACAGAA